ACACTGAAGACTGGAGTAATGGCTGATGAAAATTCAGCTTTGCATATATTTGAAAGTATATTAAAACAGAATCCATTATTTTATATAGTAATAACATTTTGCAAGATTACTGTTTTTTTCTGTATTTTTGATCAAATAAATGCAGCCTTGATGAGCAAAGTCTTACTGATCCCAAACTTTTGAGCGGGAGCATATATATATATATATATATATATATATATATATATATATTTACACATATATACACACACATATAACGGTTTTGTTAATTGGAATAAAGTTGAATAAAATAAAATGCAAATATTTAAAAAAAAACTTTAAAAAAATGTATATGTTGCCTAAAATAATAAAAGTTTAAGTTGAAATACTAAAATTATTAAAACTAAAGTTTTCACTTTAATTAGATAAATAATAATAATAATAAAAAAAAAAAATTTATAAAAAAATTTACTTAAACTAAACTTAAAATGAAGGTAAAATATAAAAGCTAATTCAAAATATTAACATATACTACAAGAGTATAGAAATAATACTAAAATAACACTGCTAAGTACACATTCATGGTCCAATTGTGAATGATTCGCCAGTAAACATTATTAAAATAATAAAATGAAACAAAAATATCCTTCCCTTGAAAATGCCACATTGCAAATGTTGTTTCATGTTCTTTCTGTCAAAATAAATAATTTTAAGTGGCTAGAAATGTCTAAACATTATCAAGAAAACTCATGAAAACACTTTTGAGCGGGAGCGTATATATATATATATATATATATATATATATATACATATATACACACACATATAACGGTTTTTGTTAATTGGAATAAAGTTGAATAAAATAAAATGCAAATATTTAAAAAAAAACTTTAAAAAAATGTATATGTTGCCTAAAATAATAAAAGTTTAAGTTGAAATACTAAAATTATTAAAACTAAAGTTTTCACTTTAATTAGATAAATAATAATAATAATAAAAAAAAAAAATTTATAAAAAAATTTACTTAAACTAAACTTAAAATGAAGGTAAAATATAAAAGCTAATTCAAAATATTAACATATACTACAAGAGTATAGAAATAATACTAAAATAACACTGCTAAGTACACATTCATGGTCCAATTGTGAATGATTCGCCAGTAAACATTATTAAAATAATAAAATGAAACAAAAATATCCTTCCCTTGAAAATGCCACATTGCAAATGTTGTTTCATGTTCTTTCTGTCAAAATAAATAATTTTAAGTGGCTAGAAATGTCTAAACATTATCAAGAAAACTCATGAAATTCAAGCACTGTATATTATATTAGTAACTTTGATCACATCTAAGTAACAAAGCAGCCTCGTATCGACTGATGTGTTTGCGAATTTTCTACATTTTAGGAGTTTTCTTTACAATGAGACTAAGTGAAGTTCTCTGATCAATACTGACAAAACTGGAATGAACTTAATGAAAATTACACAACTTGCATGCACCATGAGTGTACGAAACAAATCGAAGTTGATTGAATGCTGAAACGCAAACAAATCGGCTGACGCAAATACTCAATTGTCGCTAACACGTATTAATAGCCACACTGGTCAGAGGAGCACGCAGACAGCGTGAGAGTACACAACTGTGTGTGTCTGTGAGCGTGTGAGATCGAACCACATTGGCTGATCTAATTATAAAGGAATAACAGACGTGCACTTCCCTCTCACACTCGGCCTTGTGGAGACACGCTGAGCACCATCTGTGTGTGTATATATCGTATATAGACTGTGAATGAATGTATATTTGTGTATGAAAGATGGTGCTTTCTAAACAAGTCTGAGAACAAGTCTTGGAGAGGAATACAATCGCTTTCATCATCTTTTTTCCATTTGTCCTTGCTCTGACCCTCCCTCCGGCACTCTTTGTTCACGTGTGTGTTTGTACTTTGTATTTTTAAAGGAGTGCATTTGCATGGAACAGAGAGTGTGTGCTGCTTAATACGCAATTGACTGAATTTGAATTAATTACCTTTTGTGTTTATGTTCTTGTGCATGCGTGTTTATATGTTAATTTGCTTTGTATATATGGTGAGTGAATAAACTGAATAAATGTGACAGCACTTCCTGTCACCCTCCTCCTAAGCACTGCAGCAGCTTCCACTCCGAAAGATAAACAGATCGATCATTCATTTTTCCTCACTCTCCCACATTTTTCCTTTCAGGAAGGATTGTGTCCTTTAAACTCTGACCTTCACGGACCTTTCACATTACACTGAAAATGGCTCGTATCCATGGCAACGGAGCTATCAATCCGGTGGGACCTTGACATCAGGGATAGGCAATCTGAACGATGACAGACGTTATCAATCAAACCCTCACCATCAAACATCGACTAAACAGCTGCTGTTAAGCAGACAAACACTAAGTCTGTTCCAAAACCTAGTGAACTTCCTACCTAGACACTTTAGGTATCAAAAGTGTGTAAAAGACAAAAAAAGCTGCTCCAAAAGATATGAAAAACATTATGCTGCCTTTTAAGATCATGTCTGGCCATATACTAAGAAAAGAATTGCAAAAAATTAAGTGGAGGTAAAAAAAAAACTGCCATACGACATAAAAAAAAAAGGAAATGTGGATTATACACATGAATTAATATAGATATATAAATATTATAAAAACTAAAATATTAATTATATTAATATATATATTATAATATAATGTATTTAATATATAAACATAAAAATTATATATATATATATATATAAATATGAATTTGATTAATATATATATATATATTAAAAAATGGCGTACAAGTGAAGAAAAAATCAGATTATAACTATGAATTATTATAAATATGAAAAATTTAAACAATATAAATAAATAATTAATTACATATGAATAAAATAAATGTTATTAATATAAAATATTGGCATACATGTGGATAGCTATGCTGATTATAATACTAATTATAAATGAATATTAATATATAATGACGTATGACTGGAGGCATGCCGATTATAAATATTAATTAAAATAAAAACATAAATATTAATTATACATCAAATATTAATTATAATAATATATAATATTAATATGTAATATTAAGAGAGAAATCAATTATAATTACTATTTATATTAATATTAAATATTCAATAAATATACATTAGTGTATTAGTAGTATCATGTTTTTGGAACAGAGCTTTATGAGTATCTTAAGTATGTTTATGTTTGTGAAAGTTTATTTATTTGTGCGTGTGTTTACCTGAGTGTACGCTATATTAGTCCCATCTGTAACCTCCACAGTGAGGTTGTAAAACGACCGCTGTTCGGCGTCCAGAGGTTTAGCGATGACGATAGTGCCGACGCCTTTCTCAACGCCAAACATACTGTCCACATCACCACCTTACATGAAAACAGGAAAACATGATTAAACACAAGAACTCTCTATATGTTATGGATACGGGGGCGATACAGGGGTTTGAAGTGCAAAACATAAGTAGGATGGGATTTCCTCATTACACCCACACAACACACACTCCATGTGTAAAGCACACACATTTAAAACGCACACAATCTACATATGCAATATATATATATATCCATATATAAAACACAAATACACACTCCACATATGCAAGATAAATAACTCACACATCCTACATATGCAACACATTCACACAATATATGCAGACATCTACACTCATGCATGTGTGTGTGCCACTCTAAAGTGATACAAAAAGATGATTTATCCATTTTCTAAGACTGTCTTTATATTTCTATACAACCTACACAAACAGTCTAACAAACACACCGCCCATACACACACAAAAACACTCTCCAGAGATATTTCATATTTATTGGCCAATAGTATGTATTAAATTCCCCCTATATTAAGATTACTTTTGCCATTCTCTAGCACCACCAAAAATGACAACGATAGTTTATGGCCATTAAAAACTTAAAGGGGTCATATGATGTTGCTTAAAAGAACATTATTTGGTGTATTTGGTGTAATGAAATGTGTTTATGCGGTTTAAAGTAAAAAAACACATTATTTTCCACATACTGTACATTATTGTTTCTCCTCTATACCCCGCCTTTCTGAAACGTGCCGATTTTTACAAAGCTCATCGGTCTGAAAAGCAAGGTGTGCTGTGATTGGCCAGCTATCCAGTGCGTTGTGATTGGCCGAATACCTCAAGCGTGTGACGGAAATGTTACGCCCCTCACCAGACTGTTGATGCCGTGTCCCGGCCGGAGCGACGAGAAAAAAATATTAAAACCCATTACAAACGAGGCATTTGTTGCATCCAGTGGGGACATAATTACTGATTATAATGACTTATACTGTCTTTTTACGCGTTG